TGGAAATCCCAAATTGCTCTCCCATACCTCTCACGGCCTTACCCTGGTTGCCAGCCTGTGATAGACCTAGGACCCTTAGCCCTCTCATGATGCATACTCTTAAGGTGCCCATACACTGCTCGATTCTCGTACGAGAATCGCGGGAAATCCCGCGATCGGACGAGAATCGAACAGTGTGAACGAAGACGTGCGACCATTTCTACTGTACGGTCGCACGTCTTTTGTCTTAAGGAGCATGTTAGAAAACCAGCCGAGAATCGTACGATTTTCGGCTGGTTTGAACGGTGTTCGGGAGACAAATGCCGAACGGGCCGGTGTGCGCACGCGCACACTGCCCGTTCAGCATTGCAGTCATCGGAAGCCCGCCCCTCAGGGGGGCGGGCTTGCGATGATCGAGAGTGCGATCTGCTTGTCCAAGATGGGCAGATCGTACGTTTTTTTTTTAATCACTTTACAACCATCGCAAGACTAAGGTCTTGCGATGGTTGTACAGTGTATGGCCACCTTTAAGGTGTGGGGCTCTATTAAATACTCAGCGCACCTGCTTTCACCATACCTCCCATAGCTTCCCTTGTTTGCCCAACCACTCTTTAGGCCTGGCCTGGACAACCCCACGGCCTTTAGTTGGTGGATAAACAACGGATTCCGAACAGTACATGACCTTCTGCGCTCCTTTGCCATTCCTTCCTGGCAATACTTGGATTTCCACTCTAATTCGGAGGAGAGATCCCACTAATTTATTTACTTGCTTTGAACATATGTGTCTTCACGCCCCGGAGGGCCCAGGCCTCATAATTCTTTATTCACAATTAAATATAGATTGGTCAGCCACACTTCCCACACTTATGTTCGCAGCTGGGAAGGGGACCTGCCACGTCAGTGGTCCATGAAGGAATGGCAGCAGATCTGGCGCAATGTCGCAAAATGCTCTATTAGCGTTACGAATGCTGAGGTAGCCTATACGGTAATGATGAGGTGGTATCTGGTCCCAGCCAGGGTGGCGCGCCTATTGCCCACAACCTCCAGTACCTGTTTTAGAGGGTGCAGAGAAAAGGGAGATATGATGCATACCTGGTGGCACTGCCCCCTGGCTACATGGTTCTGGGTCAAGATATTTAAATTAATTGGCTCCCTATTCTCTACACATATCCCAATCAATTTTCAATATGCCCTGTTCCACATGTCTATACCAGGGTTGAGTAAGCCTCAGAGGGCTCTGGCGCACTTTATTTTCCTGGCAGCCAAATTGACTGTTGCAGGAAACTGGAAGAAACAACAAATCCCTTATGGAGAATTTAAACAGAGGTTGGATCATATTATGCTTAACGAGCGACTATCTAATATTTTGAAAGACAAACACTCCAGGTTCCTGAGTGTGTGGGAACCATGGCTCTCATTCCGTCACCCAGGGATAGACCCGATGAGCTACCGAGGTATATAACGTGGATTGGACAGCTGATGGCTATCCGTGTGTGACGTGCAGGGCGGTAACCATGGATGTCCTGTAGGATGCTTGATATATGCAAATATGGGACCCCCCACTCCCTAGTAGTATGGGTGACCGGCTACTAGTACCCCCCCCCTCCCCACCAACACCCTTTTCCCCCTTTACCCCGATTTTCTGTTTCCTGGGGCCTTTACCCCGCCTTATGTTTTTGGTTGATCATCGGCTCACTGCCAGGGGACAGGATACTTGCGTCACAGCACATGTCATAGAGTCAATTGTATAATTTGAGCGCTTGCAAATGCAAGGTCTCCCTGTTCCTTGAATATGCTTATGTATCATACGTAACTCTAGTACCTGTGTACTCATGATTGTAATGAAGAACCAAAGCAATGATACACTGTGAACCGATATCTTTATTATGTTTGATATGTGAAAATTTCAATAAACATATTGATACAGGAAAATATACAGATGTCTAACCTTTTAGCTGTTTGGTGAAGGTGTTTGTGCAGGTTACAAGCTACTCTGAGCAGTTTGAAAGAGAAAGTAGAGGGACACACTGATGGATAGACTGAGCTTCTTCTCTTTAACATACAAAGCTTCTCTCTAACCCTTTGTTAGGACAGACAGTACTCAAATCTCGTTCACAAGTAATAAACTAAATCTGCCAACACAGTGCAGGCAGGGTTAATTAGAGTAATCATATCTTTCCACATCCCCTCTTTAACATTACAGTAAGGGAAGCAAGAAAGGATTTGTGAGCAAGTAAAAAACACCTAAAAATGTAAGCAGCAATTTTTAAATATTTATTGTAGGTTATGCTATGTGAATGGGAACATATAACAAATATAAAGTACATGTTATCACAATTTGGCTGCAAAAGTGGAAATATACTTTAAACCTGTATAGAAGGCTAAATTTCTTTCATGACAAATACAGTTAAGAGGATTTTTGCCTGGACTGAATATCCAAGCCTGTGTTGTAGAAATGCATTTTCCAGCATCTGCATTCCCAGCCTTACAACTATATAACACCTGAAAACTGACAAGACAATTCTGTAAAACGATAAACATTCCATACCTTATGTCAGCAGCAATGCCAGTTCCTACATTTGCCCCTCATGGGTTATCAGCCTTTCTGAAAATGCGGCAATGCAACACGAGAGGAAAAGGACCAGCTTTGGCAGCCCAATCATAAGGTTTATATTCCAACACAGGAATAATTCATAGCTTTTGTATATGGGTATCTTCCTTGCAAAGTGAACATAAGTGAACATTGAAATAAACAAAATGTGTTCCATTTTTCCAGCTAAAAAACGAAACCCATAATCCTAAGTTATTCATTTGATGACAGGTTTCATGCCATCAAATCTGAACATCTTGGCTAGTTGGGAATAAGGTAATTCAGAATAAAAGAACTCAAAATCATACCGATTTTCAAGACAAATTCCTCCTGGTTTTACATTAATATATGCCACAGCTGTTATTGTAACACAGTAAAAGAAAAGATATGCATGGCTGATATGCATGGCATGGCTCAGCAAAACCCGCTAAAAAGTAAATATGTGGCACCTCTAGGTGCCGGAACTCTGAATTCCCTGGCAAACCTAAATACTGTGGTTCTAGGATAGAGGACTAGTGAGCAATCGAGTGAAACAATGGCTCTGGCACTGCCCCTTGCTCAAACTCACAAATCACCTTACCAATTAATATTGAAAAGTGAGATATGGATGTGCACAGCCATCAATCAAAGAAGACGGTCAATATTTGCATAAAACAGCACCCTGGTAAGGCTTCCCAATATGCTATTCAAATATAGAAATCAAATAATGCAATAATGCTGCATATGCAGGTGCCTGCTATGCAGCATCAGAAGCAATCACACTTGTGCAGTTTGGCCATAGATTGATTTACTCGAACATCCTGTAAATACACAGCATCTAAATTGGTTTAGCTATGCTTCATTTATATTGACAAGAGACTAAAATACATTCAAAACACCCTAATGCGAACACAAACAACACCATTAGTTTTCTTAAAAAAAGAGCTTAAGTCACAATGTTAGAGGAGACGTAGCTCAATTCTCTAACAGTAACCTGGCAGAACATAAACTACACCTATGTAGCAAATATATACTTGTAAATGAATGCACGAACAGGAAGCTGAAACTTTCTTTATTACAGCATATTAAGCACAGTATATAAACACAATCCAGTAAATTAGGTTGAATGAGCTGCATTAACAGACTCATGATGCAATGATACAATCATTTGGCTGGATCAAAATCTTTAGGCCTCCATTCACACGAGTGATTTGAAGCACATTTCTAGAAGCGCTTCAACATTCAACACTTGATTTCAATGTTATTCTCATGTGCCTGTTCCTATCTTTAGGACAGGATCACGTATGTTTGGCACAAATAGAATTCAATAGTGGCACCTGAAAAATGCATGCAATGCAATGCTCGTATTTCACGCCTAACATCGGTCTCCTCTTCCTACTAATTGGCTTTCCATTGGCAAAAAAACACTTAAGCCTAAAGGGCAAATAAAAATATAAAAAATGCTCAAGTGTGAATGGGAGCTCAACCTAAACTCCAAGAAGATCTAAAATAAACAAATTAATGCATTCCTGCATTCACTTACACATCATCATTTCTGAAATATGAGTAAAATGATCAGCCTTTTGCAAATCTATCGTATCCCAGAGTTCAGACTGTGAAAGGACGTGACCTGTAAGTGTAACTTAACCACAGCAGAGAAAAATCAGGTCTACTACCTTGTCAGACATGGCTGTTCTGCATGGCAGAGCTGTGTAAATTTTAGGACTGAATGAACAGAAATACAAATACTATGGCAGATAAAACAGCTCCCATACAGTATATGTATTTTATCTGTATGCCTGGTGAAAGATGCCATTTGTTATAAATTTACAGTGTGACAGGAACCCATTTGTTCTTGCAAAATGGCCTTCAAGTGGACCTATACTCGAACATTATCTGCCAATAAAAACATGTGGGGAAGTTAGATCATCAGTAGGTCACCCAATGGCCAGAGAGAAGACATCAGCTTGAAAAAACAGTGGCAAAGATAGCAGAGCAAGTGGGGATAGTGGAGCTATTTGCACTACTGTAGAAGAAAGCAAAAGCAGAGGGTAGGCCTGCCATAATCTGCAAATATGCTGTACATACAAGCACATTATGGCAAGACCTTCCGCTGCTCACTCTACTGCAGTTGCGCTTTAAAGCTCAGTGAATTTTTCTGAGATGCTAAATAGAATAATAGAAAGACTTGCTTACCTATCGTAAGCAAAATGCTGCTCTAGTCTCTAGCATTCAAGACCAAAAACCAAGGGCTTATATACTCTACTGCCAAGGTGAGCCCTGGTCATCTCTCTTAAAAATAAAGCACATTACCCAACAGCTGAACCCGTTTCTGAAAATGAGGTTTCTTTCACCAAAATGGATTATTACATGACATTATCAGATTGTTACATGTCTAAATACCATAAAGATATATTTTATTATTTTTTTCGGATTTCCAACTACTTCTTACATGCTGGTGTTACTTCTCACAGTTCCCACATGTTCCGGTTGGGGAGTGGAAACGAAGGCCGGGGTGAACTCTTGAGGAGATGTCAGATACCGAGGAGAGTGCAGCTGCTGCTGCTGCTGTAAAAAAGCCTGGTGTTGCTGCTGCTGTAAAAAAGCCTGTTGTTGCTGCTGCTGCTGCTCTTGTTGTTGTTGTTGTTGTTGTTGTTGTATTTGTACATGTTGATAGTGATGAACCTGAAAAAAATGTGTAAAT